GAAATACCTGGAGATTTTTGGGGTGGAGCCTGAGCGGTGAGTGTTGCCTTCTGACACACTTCCGGTGATGTCAGGGGGTGTGGCATATGCAAATAAGTTATGCTAATGAGCTCCTGCACCTCTTTTTCTACGAAATGACCCCTGTTCATACTGCTCTCTGAAGCCATAACTAGTTTAAATTTATGTGCCTCAGCCAGATTTCTCCTTTGTCTCTCTGAAGACCTGTGCTGCTGATCTGTTCCTTGAAACCAATTTGTAAATAAATCTTCTTTGCCATTTATATACAACTAGGAATAAGGCCCGTTGTGGAAATAAATACGAGGCTCTGGGCAGGTGCCCCAGACTTGGGCACTCAGTGTCAATTTGCTGTGGCAACCTCAGCAAGGTATAATGACACAAAGTCCACCATTTTCTCCATGGGAACTGATTTCTGCCATTGGGACAGCAGTTGTAATTCTGAGTGATCTCCAGCCCTCTCTCGGAGTTTGGTAACATTGGTTCCCCAGGATGAAAAGTACAGTATTTCTCCACAGTGGGGACCAAAGCAGCTTACATCATTCTCCTCTCCCTCTTTTGATCTGCACAACAATCCTTTGAGGTAGGTTAGGCTTGAAAGTCTGTGAGTGATCCAAAATCACTCACTCAGCTTCCACAGCAAGAACCTGGGTCTGGCAGACACTGCTCTGAAGCACTAACTGCTATGCCACACTGGCTGTCCAAGGGGGGCTGGTGCTAGTGAACAACAGCAGCAAGCAGCCAGGCCTAGTTGTCATGCCAGTCAGGTGTCATCAAGTCTCCCAGAGGGTGCTGCCAGGCCTATGGTAGCCAACCTCCGTGTGGAGCCTGAAGATAACCTGGTATAACAACAGAATTCCAGACAACAGATCCCTTTTTCCCCATGGAGAAAATAACTGCTTTGGACTCTATCTATATATCTAATAGTCAAGTTGCTCCCCTCCCCAAACCCTGGCTTCCATAGACTTCAGCACAAAATCTCCAGGAATTTCCCAACCTGGAGCTGGAAACCCTAGTCAGGACTGGCCCTGATCAGTTCCCCACAAAGGCCTGGAAATGGCCTCTTGGCTTTGGCTTTTTAGTGACAGAACCAAGCTTGGTTGCCTAGCAACAGCCACTGAGGGAAAAGTTAGTGTCACAGGAACCAAGCAGGAGAAGCATCTTTGTCAGGAGAGACAGCCGTTTTGGTAGTTTTTCTGGCAGGGAACAGTGGCTGAGATGGCAGTGGGCGGGGAAGAGGAGCGGACCCAGCACCTAGCCAATGGCATGTGATTACTCTTGAGTGGCTGTTGATGGGCCAATGGCTGCTGGAGTGCGCAGCACAGCCAACGAGAGAGCTGGAAATGTCCATGTTAGGAAAATTATATATATAAGATGCTCAGGTTGGATTGCAGTGGATTCTAGGGTTCAACATTGGGCCAATACGCTAAGGCTTTTATATATATCTAGGATTCCTACCTCAGTGACCTCCATATTCTACTTGTACGCCACAAAACATCTCTCAGCAGCAAACCCAAACCCACTTGCTACCTTTAGAACACTGGTAACCAGTGTTCCCTCTAAGCTGAGTTAGCGTGAGCTAGCTCACAGTTTTTCAGTCTCTGGCTCACACATTTTTGTCCTAGCTCAAGAAGGATGGCTCCAGAGCAAACTAATTTATGCAGTAGCCAAATTGCTCGCTCACAGCTTTAATGCCAGTAGCTCACAAAGTAGATTTTTTTTTAGAGGGAGCATTGCTGGTAACTGGAGGGAAAGTTTATAGTTTAAAACAAACCTAGTTCACTAAAAATCATAGGAGGCGCTGTGGGTCCCCTCAATTTATAAAAACAGTCCATCATCTTGTGAGTCCCTACAGAACAAGCCAACACACCTGAGGGTTCCAGTGCATGAGCTGAAGGCCATTGCTGTAGAGGATGGTTTGGTAGTGATATGATTCTAGAATAACTTGTTTGAGGAGTGCTACTAGCCATCAATATACAACTGCCTTGGTAGGGAGGGCAGGGTATAAATCGAGTAAAATAAATAAATAATGCCTGAACATACTAGTTACGTCATGACTCATCGTTCAGCCATAGACATCAGCATGAATGTTGCACACAAACATCATACATTTCAAGTGGCATTCATATCATTTGAGAAAGTTTGGAATGTGATGACTGTTACCACTCAGCTTCCAGACTGGGGAAGGAGGGGAAGAATAGGAAAGCAGTCATCTAGGAAAGAACTATGATCCCCCAACTCCCAAGTAAAAATAGACCTTTACAGAGAATCTATACAGGCTGCCAAGGTGGCACTAGAGCTGAGAGCTGTGATAACAGTGACTGAATACTGCTTGGCAGTGAGTGAGCTGAAGCCATCATGAATGATAGTTGCCTGCACAGTCGATTGTCCTCTTCTTCCCGACGCTGTTCCTTCCTTTGTATTCTTTCCTGTCTGTTGTTATCAATGTAATCAGGAGGACAGCCTCCTCTTAACTGTCCTGGTTTTACATTGCACCATGTTTATAATGTGTTATTTTGATTTTGGAACTGCACTGTCAAGTAAGCCTTAATGTCAAAAGTACAATACCAGAATTAATGGCATGTTTGGATTACTGTCTGCAATATACCAGTCAGTACTTTGTTTCTGTCACTCTGGTCCTTTACAAGGTAAACAGTGCATGAAGGTTTATAAGGAATACGATTTGCAAATATTATAAAATCACTCAAAAGTACAAAAATAAGGCATTCAAATCAGGGGTTTATTGACTCTGTCTTTTGGGAAAATTGAAGCGGCAGAAGTGGTGGTGGGGGGCTGGAACTGAAGGAAACAATAATATGTATTAGTATAAAAGATTGCTTTGTATTTAGTCCAGGAAATTTTGGCAGGCAATTGAAATTTTAACTGTATACATACCATAAATAACTATATATGGAGGCTGTGAGGTGCCTTTTTTTCTTAGTGGGCAGAGTTCTGATGCAAAGAGGTCTGTACAATGTAGAGGAACTGACTTGATGGTGGCTGATGGCTCACTTTTTCAAGCTAAGTGGAAAATATAGATAGCCATAGCCAAATACTTTGGGGGATATGTTACAGAACAATTAAATCCTGGTTTGGGGGGTGGGTCATAAAACAGCAAACATTTGAGGGACTTGTAGACTTCAGTGTTCCCTCTAAGCTGAGTTAGTGTGAGCTAGCTCACAGTTTTTTAGCCTCCGGCTCACACTTTTTTGTCTCAGCTCAGGAAGGAGATGCTTGTGTCGGGGTTGTACCAATTCAAGTGTTGTAGCTTTTGTCAATGAATCCTTGGCTTTGTGATTTGATGAAGGTGCTGAGAATTTTATGTCAGAGGGCCCAAGCCTCCCTCACTGAACTGGAGTTTTCAGGTTTTCTTGGTGAGAGAGTATATCTATTAACACAATTCCAGACATTTAGGACTCACTGGAGCCTCTAAAGAGACCATCTACTGCAGCTGGACAAACTGAGAGCTGGAGTGAGAACTTTTGCCAGCTTGACTGCCCCCCCTCCCCCAGTGGTGCTGCAAAGGAAGGAGGAGCATCTGGTGCTGCTTTAAAAATTGTGACTGGGAAGAGGTGAAGTCCCATCTCCTAAGTGACTGTTGAAAAGTGAAAAGCGAAAAAGATGGAAATTTGGAAGCAATCCTATGGAGGTCTACTCAGATGTGAGATCCATCTGGTGCTTTCCCCCACAAAAGTGTTCTTAGAATTGCAGCCTTAATGCTGTGTTGCAGTTTTTCTCCTGTTACCATATATATGATTTTGTTTTTGTTAGGTGGTGCACATGAAGGTCTGCAACACTTGGGTCCATATGGAAATATACCCAATATTGTTGCTGAGTTAACTGGTGACAACATACCTAAAGATTTCAGTGAAGATCAAGGATATCCTGATCCTCCAAATCCTTGCCCAGTTGGAAAAACAGGTAAGTTGCAAGATTTGCAGTACAATCCAAAAAAGAGTTACACTTTTGTAAGTGCATTGTCTTGAAGTATTTTATTTTGTGTATTAAAGGCAGAGGGTTTTGGATGCCTTTGCAGTAAAAATAAATTTAAACTCTACACAACCTAAATCAGAATAAGTAAATATGTACCTTCCCTTATTTGGCCCAATTCATTCTCCTTCCAAGATCCAGTTTTTAAAAGTGTTTTTTACCTTTTGGAAAGAGAGAGACAGAAGTAAGGAAAGTTATAGATATTGGAGATGGGGTTGCCAACTCTGGGTGGGGAAATTCTTAGGTATTTGAGGGTGGAGCCTGGGGAGGAAGGAGTTTGGTGAGGGAAGGAACTTTAGCAGGATATAATGCCATAAAGTCCATCTTCCAAAGCAGCCATTTTCTCCGTAGTCTGGAGATGAGCTGTAATTCCGGGGGATACCCAGGTCCCACCTGGAGGCCGGCCACCCGTATGCGGCAAGAGACGTGCCCATGCTTTCAGCGGATTTCCTTGTTCGAACTGATCTGCCTATGCTACATCCCACATTGTTTCCCAGGGTCTCCCAGCTTTCAGTAGCGGTTTTTCCGATGGTACAGGAGGCTGCAGAAGACAGGTAGAGGCAGGAAAAATCTGTTCCATGAACAGAGCTCTTTTTGTGGAGGGTTTTTTGAGCCATCTCTTAGATTCCAATATCCTTTCCTTGTCCCAACCCATAGCTTAAATGTTTCACAAGGTTTGGAATTATTAGCTAGAACCCCTTTCCAAGACAAAAATGAGAATCCATAGCATTAAAAATTTGGGAATTTGGCTTAAGGGACAGCTGTTTAACTATATTTCTTCTTGAATAGAAGTTGCCATGTACTTTTGAAAAGGTGATGATGTGATTATTCCATCATGTACCCAGACAGACATGAATCAGGGTTGCCAGCTCTGGCTTGGGAAATACCAATAGGACATGACATTATTGACAGTTTCTATGAAAATTTCCC